CGTCGTGCGTACGCGCCCACGAGCAATACCGCTAGCCATGATAACCATGAGAAAATCAACTGATGGGTTTCCTTTTCTTTCCCATATGAGTATGGGGCTCCGCTTGGCGGCCCCTCGGGCCGCCAGAGCTCCGCTACAAATAAATCACTTTATTTTAGTTTCAAGGTGTTTTAATAGCACTGAGCACTTTGCTAATTGCAGACATGATAAATGAAGAAACAAATATTGTATTTATATAAAACTGAACACTTGTTAAGAATCCCAGCTGCTTGGAGGCTGACCAGTTGGTTATTTACAAGACATGGAGGAGTTGAATCTGGGACCACCAAACACAAAGCCATCTAGTGGCAGAGAGAGGATTTGAAACAGAGACCTCTGGATTACAAATCCAGCAACCTAACCACTAGGCCATGTTGCCTTCATCTAACTTTTTTATCTGGTTGGTTTTTTATTTATTGGCTTGTTAGCAGGATAACACTGCTGCTTATTGACTGCTGTTTTATTACATAGGTTTTGCATGAAAGACTTGCTCGAAGACAAGCACTTGCTCAACAGAGAGCTGCTGATAATCAAGAGGTTAGTAAACTAATAAAAATAAGTTAATATTACGTTTTGTAAGGATTTCCACCACTGAGAAAACTTGTCATTGCCGTACATAATATTACAATAATATACAGATGATGTAACGATTTTTAACACCTTTGCTTTGTTTCATGAACTGATCAATGTTGATATATACTGTCGTAGTTAAAAGATCTTCAGATCTTTCTTGGACATCCTGGGCAGTCATTGGAAATCTTTCATCATCTTCATAATTGTTTGGAAAAAGGTGGAAAATGTTCTTGAAAGTTACTTTGAAGAACCTCTCAAACTACTTTAAAACATCTTCAGAAAAATGCTTGGAAATCCTTGAAAATCACTGAAATTTTCTTTTTTTGTGCTGTACACTTATGTAATGAACTAAATAATACATGGCCGCATGAGATATGAAATTTTTTGATCATCTCACATTAAACTCAGTACCTCATTCCTTTCATTGCCTTGCAATTGTGTTAAGCAATCAAAGAAAAATTCCATATCTCTCTAGGCCTTCATGTATTCCTTATATACTTGTATCAATAGTACTCGTTCTACTTGGTTTGTTTTCTTAAAGGACCATTGTGATATATTTTTAGGAAAAAGAGGATTTTGGTGAAAGGTTGAAGCTACCACAGAATAATTTGGATGTTCTATCCAAAAGAGGAAAGCTTCTGGAAGACCAAAAAGAGAGGTATTGGTGTTATTGAACTACACACTAAAGTACAAAAATTATCTAAACAAGATTTCAATCTCTAGAAAACTGCTCTTTGCTTGCAACCAGGTTTGGTAAAAAGAAAATCAAGACATCAATTTAGGCGGCAAGTATTCCTTTTCTCAAGGTTTTTCTATAGCTCTCTAGCTCAAAGCCAAGTGATGGAAAGATTGAAAGGCGAGAGTGCGTCGTTTCATCTTTACCATTGATCTGCTCCCTATTATCTCTGGAATTGGTTCTCAGAGTCTCTGTACAGTACATCTGCACTCATTTCTCCTCCTCCCCATTTTTCTTTGGAAGGGGGATGCAGACAGTAGCAGATGGCTCTGAGGAGAAGAGAGAGACTGATTAAATGTTAATTGATCTGAAAGAGAAAATCTGTGAAGAAAGTATGTGTTGATGTTTACTATTTTAAACTGTTATTGTATGTGTTTGATTCAAAGGATTATGGAGGAATATGAACAAGATCTTCGAGTCTTAGAAGAGAAACACCAACAAGGTTTGTACTCTTAAACACCATGCATCAACTTAAAACAATATGGTGTTACGCTAAAAGGGTTACAGTACTTACAATTACCTTTCAGTTTAGTCCTATACAGCCTAGTCCTTTCAATATTTGCCTTGTGATATCTCCTTGCCCTTTTTGAGGTTTTACTCACGGTTTCCAGTGTTGCCATGGTTCTCACTGTATTTTGAGATAAAAAAAGGTTGTTGTACCGTGCACATCATAAACTTAAATGTAAAATTACTTCCAGTATTTATTAGTGGATTATGACTGTTGTATGTTGTAAGGAGAAAATTATGTTATAAAACTTATGGAACATGCAAACCTAAACGTTATGAGTGATAATTGCATTTTCTTACAGCTATCCTTAAGAGTCAAAATGATTTGAATGAGAAACTGAAAAGAAAGCGGGAACAAAGAATGAGAAAACTAGAGATGGAACAAGCAGCAGAAAAGGAGGATTTTGAAAGAAAGGCAAGTAAATGACAAATGTGTGTTTGTGGATCCCTGAAGAACAAAGCCAAGGAACTGTGTTTGTTGCCGCATTTCTCATTTCTCTGTTTGTAATCCCATCTTCTGGATGACAAAAACTACAGTCTCTGTAGCTCAGGGTTGTTAAGAATTAGACTCCAGGGCTCCAAGGAAGAAAAAAACCGGACTCCAAGACAGGGTGCTAAGAAAACAGGGCTTACCCTTTAGGCGTGCACTACCTATGATGGACTACCCCGAAAGTCATTGTCACTAGCCCCCTAAAAGTGTGTTTCTTACAGTGCGTCTGTAATTTGAATTCCCGCCATTACTTCGCTTCCTGCTCCAAATATCGATAACCCCAATGTTTCTTTTTTTCTATGCTTGTACTTAGTTCACCTGGGTTCTTTTGCTTATGCTTGCGCCGGCTTAGGCTTGTGCTTATCTCAGAAGTGTGAACCAGTCTTAAAGCCTTCTAATGAACCCACTTCAAAAGCTAATCATTTTTTTCTCTGTGTGGTTATTATAGGCCAGCCAGTTGATCAGTGAAGGTGAAATGACAGCTGAAGACTTCCTGGAGTCAAGCCACAAACTGAGAGTGCAGCAACAAGTTGCAAGGGAAGAAGAGGAAGACAAGGCTGATGATTCAGAAGTACAGGAATTCAATAACCTCAGACAGGCAAGTTGTTGGATTAGGAAGTTAGCCTCCTGGGCTTGTCACCAACACATGACAAAGAGTTAACCTCGTTTTCAAGGGGGCGGGAAAAAGATAGACCCTGGGAATGAGGTTGGAGGAAGAGTGTCTGCGTTGGAGCTAAGTACAAGTTATTCAACAGTTATCATTTCCTTTCGTTTTAACTGTTTTCGATTGATTGCGAAGAATAATCACAAGAATATTTTGGTGTTGCATTTAACTAATGTACCCAATCACTGCAAACGTGTCGTTGATGCGAGTTTTTTCCACACTTGTTGTACGTTTTTTGCTTCGAGTGCAGGTTTGCTCGTTGCCTTATCTACCTGTGATCCCTAAATGGGTGTGGTTTTATGACAGTGCTGTCTGTGATTGGCAAATTTTCATAGTTTCCATTTCTTATCGCTCTATTAAAAAGAGCATGATAACTCGGAGGAATCCACAAGTTGTCATGTTGCCAGTATGCAATTCGGAGTGTGGATAGGAACCTCTTCGGGTACTAAACGGGAATTTGCAAAGTGAACTCCACTTCTTCACTCAGCCAAATTTTGACATCACTGAATACAGAGCGGGGTACGAGTCTTTCATTGCGGAATATCCGTTAATCTAACTAGACTGCTTTCTGTTTGTTGTCATGATTAAACTTCAGAAATTAGAAGAAAAGAGACAGCGAAATTTGCAGGAAAGAGAGGAAGCCTTGTTTGAACAGATTAGAAAGGAAGCGCATTTGTCGTCAAAGGAAGCTGAGAAACTGATGACTAAGCATTTGGAAGACCTCAAGGAGTCTAATGGTTTGTCTCCTTTCTATCACAGTAACTGTGATAATCTGTACGTGAAATAAATTGTTTATGGAGAAAGTGCAACTGCAACCACTTTTTTCGTAGTTGAAAGGCAACCTAAGTAAGTAAGGCCTAAGTCAAACGTCGATCGTCACATGAGACGAACTAAACTGAGCGAATTAGGTCATGATAAGTTCGATGTTTGCAACCCAGTTCGTCCGACTGAATTTGATCGACCAGCACGTTCTATCCGTACTCAAATTGCACTTTAGTTCGTCTCATGTGAAGTTAGACGTTTGACCTGGGCCTAAGTAGTTTCAGTTGTCATCACTAGTAGGTTTGATCCACTTTAAACTGCCAAGTACTTCTTCACAACTGCGAAAATATCATTAAGTAAACTGCAGTTTTGTTATTGTCGTTGCCGACCATCTGCATGATTTGATTGTTGGCATGTCACGCCTGTATACTTAGTTGTTACAAGTAGATAAATGCCACACGCGAAAATGAATGTGCTTGGTGCCTGACAGGATAAAGAACTGCTGCTCATAGATAACTTTTCATTGTATCTTAAGAGAGGAAGACCCGAGAGCGCGAGAGGCAGCGGGCAATGATTCAAGAAAAACTGGAAGAAAGAAAGAAGAGATGGGAGAGAGACATGGAAAGACAACAAGCCGAGCAGAGTCAGCTGGTCGCAGAACAAGAGAAAGCCATTAAACAAGTGTTGAACACTCAAGCGGGACTTGCTGAAGAGTACGTTTTTAAAACAGAAATGTGAACATATCCATTTTTATGCCGTGCCATAGAAAATACAGCCAATCAGAATACAGAAAGGCCGTTGTACACTTTAATGCCGTCATTGCATGCTACCTTCCCATCGTGCGCTGCGCGTATTCCGCACTGATTTTGTTGGCCACTGTATTTTCTATGGCGTGGCATAAAATAGTTAAGCAACGCTTTCTCTTGGTATACCATGGAATATCCCACAAGTCAGTTTTATTTTCTTGGTATACACACTCGCCGTTAATAGATTAACTAGTATATTCTCCAGAGCGATCTTACCATTGTCTACGGTTACTGCCTTATTTGAAATCTTATAGCGACTCTGTGGAGCTATTTAAGTATCTAAAGGAACGGTGAGGGAAAACAGGTTTATCATGACTACAACTTAATTGTGGACATTTCGGGTTTTTTTTTTTCTTCAGCTTACGCAAACAGGTGATGCTAGAACACGAACAAAACATGATAGCGCTAAACGACCATTTGCAGATGACCAGGCTGAGACAACAGAAAAGGTTTGTTTATACACTATTGTCCATGAACAGTGACATGTCCGTCACTGATTGTGTTCCTGTTTTAACTGCGGTAACCCCCACAGCAGTCACTGCCTCTCACAGCATATTGCCAAAGAAAAGCTCAACTGAACGCGCATTCAGATTGGTCTTCTTTCTAGCTGTTATCTAAATTTTCCTGTAACGTAGAGATTCTTTCCACTAACGTGTTCGAAGTTTTATCCCCATAGATTGGAGCAACGCCTTGCAACCCGCCGAGCTAGACTTGCTGAACTAAGGCAACAAATGGAAAAAGAGCGAGAAGAGCAATCCCAGAATGACCCTGAGGCCATGAAAACCCTCACAAGGGTTCAGGTTAGGAGACTGCATTACAAGACTTTGTAATGTCTATCCTGTTTTTCTGAAGATGTTTCGGTAGGTACTGATAAAGCGATAATAACATTTTGTTCTTTCAAAACAGAACATCGAATATCAAGCTGAAGTGAAGAAAATCGAGGCTGAACATCAAGCTGCTTTAGAAGACTTGAGAAGGTGAATTATAGTGTTAAGAAAGAATCCACCGGAAGTTCGAGTAACAAGTGGACAAAAACTTTGTACCAAGATTATGTACATCATTTCGCAAACTTTTTGTGCGACTAAGTTAAATGTCTTCTCAAAAAAAAGAATCGTTTCTAACCACACCATATGTCAAAAACTAAAATTATTCTTGTACAAGGTGTTTGTCGATTAATAGCTGAAATTACTCGATTTCCTATCGGATTTCGTCTTAATCTTTTTAACGTTTTGGCGTTACTTCCGTTGTCACTTAAGCGTTTGCTGAGCTTGGTGTCTGATTCAACAAGCTCATTAACCGTGCTTAAACCAATCAGAGCGAGGATGATGTCCTTCGGCTAATCAGTTGCAATCATTTTTCCTGCACTTTGTTTCAGAATTTCCTGCACTTTCAGAATTCTAAGCGATGCGGGCTGGCCTTTCTTCTCTTTACCTCTCTACTTTGTTGTACTGTTTTTTGTTGAGGAACGAAGACCAAACTCAAGAGAGCGGTAAAAATCGAGCCTAGGTTTGAAACGACCTCGTAAATATGACTAAAATTGTTCAATTGTTTCCTAGCTTCCATCCTTTGTTTCATTGTCATTTTCTCCTCCCTCCTTCACTTTATTCCTTCCTTTCTTTCTTTCTTTCTTTCCCCTCTCTCACACCGCTGCCCAGCCTGCATCATCTTCTCCCTACCCTACTCTTCCCTTCCTCTCTTCCTCTCTTCCTCTCTTCCTCTCTTCCTCTCTTCCTCTCTTCCTCNCCTCCTTCACTTTATTCCTTCCTTTCTTTCTTTCTTTCTTTCCCCTCTCTCACACCGCTGCCCAGCCTGCATCATCTTCTCCCTACCCTACTCTTCCCTTCCTCTCTTCCTCTCTTCCTCTCTTCCTCTCTTCCTCTCTTCCTCTCTTCCTCACTCCTTTTTCTCCCTGTCTCATTTCTTCCCATAATTGCATTACCTTCCCTCTTTCCGTCCATCCCTCCCTCTTTCCCTCCATTCCTTCTTTCCTATTCTGTCCTTTCTTTTCTCCATGCATTGGAAAAGCTAATTTTGAATTTGACGCGCGTATGATTTTCAAACACTTGAAGGAAATGTGTACATATGCATACATTTCCATTTGATGATCCAGGTTCATTCAAGGGGTTTCCATTGTGTATTTCCCAGTGCTTCTCAGTGTTGGTGATATCTGTTAAAATAACTTGCCCGTTCTTACATCTTAGACGTTTGGCGGCCGAAACAGACGAAGCTTTAAAAGAACAAGATGAGAGACTTGGAAAAATCTTGGCTAAATTGCAGGTGAGCGTAGTTAGTAAGACCACAAAACCACAAACAAACCAGACATTTTAAAACACTGCTGTAGCCTTGTCTTGTAATTCACGGCCAGGCTTTGTTTGCCTAACTATTCTAGCTCATGTGTAGCAAGTCTGTTGAATTGCTTCTCACATTGTTTCATCCAATCACTAACATAAAACTTACTCTGTCGTTTTATAGCTCAATCAGTCTTCAAGCACAGTCTGACATTTTTGGTTGCTTCAAGTCTTATTCTAACTTTGTAGCTGTCGTCCATGGTGTCTTCCCGTTATTTCACGTAGTTACTACTGTTTTTGCTTTCGTTGTTATTTTTGTTGGTTGGATACACTCTAATATTTAGCCACCTCTTTTACCCAACGATGTTTCGTATTAATGTCGTCTTATTGTCTTTAGGTGGCAGTGGCAAGGCGAGAGGAGATCATCAAGAGGCAAGATGAAGCTATTCGTTCCCTGGAGGTAATTTCTGAAACGTTTTGGCTCTTAAGGATTTTACTCTGACTCGCCAGAGTTATAATTACTTCTCTTCTACTGAAAAAATGATTTACGGTATACTGCTTGTAGCTTTGTGAAAAACTCATGCTGCTAAAACATGCTTTATATTATATTCGCTCAATCCCTTCCGTGAGTGTCAAGTTCAAAGCATGAATTCTCATTACTACACCTTTTGCTGTTCATTTACAGAAAATAAACATTCATTTGTGTCCAAATTTCTTTCACTATGGTCATTAAACTCTCATTAACACCAATATG